TCCTGCCTTGTTGGGAGGGGCCCAGGAGGCTGCTAAAAGAGTTTGCCAAAAATGGTGGTACCAACTCAGGCAGAACACACATCGGAGGCTGTGCCTTTCCCCATATTTCAACTTAAAAAAGGGCCATGAGGATGCAACTGGTGGGGAGGGTGTTGCCCACTCCTATTTCCTCTGTAGAGCAAGCGTCAGTTGTGCTCAGACAGAAGAGATAGGGAGGGATAAAGCAGGCCTCAGGAATGAGGGGTGGGGTGGGCCAAGGCTTAGAGGGTTAGCTTCAGAGACGAGGAAAGATAAGGGCGGGGTGAGGGTTAGGAGTAGGATGAGTGTGTCTCTCCGACACGCATCTGGTAACACAATGCATTTATTTTCTAGAAGCATAGCATCGTTCTGTCAAATGATCTGTTTGAAAAGGGCCACATAGGATTGTTTTAAATAAACAAAAGGAATTCTAATATCATGCAACTATACTTGGTGTTACCAAAGGATGCAGGGACCAGTGGATTAGGCAATTGAGACCACAGGTGGGCTTTCAGGAAATTTCTCCCTTTACTATTTCCTGGGAAGAGCAAGTTTCAGGTGAATGCTCCCCTGTTCAGAACATTGGTGCTGGGAGCAGCCCAGACCTCTGGGTTAAATACCATCATTGCTTTGTCTAAATTTCTACATACTCCGAAGGCTATGATTTCCCCTTCTTTCTCTTGGAACCTGTTCAGTAAATACTAAGAAAGAAACTATACTTTGGATGGGAAGGGCATTATGCTGAAGGGCTGAGCCCTGGGGTGGAATCCCAGCTCTGCTATTTACCAGTTGCTAGGGTTTGGGCATGTCGCTTTTTCTCTCTGAGCCTTAGTTCCCCCCTCTGGTACTAACCTAGGCTCGCAAGGAAAAGAGTTCTGTGAGTCTATGTTTCAGGCCTTGGCGGCACGTCTGACATACAGTGTGGGTGCTCAGTGATAGTGACATACGTCTGTAGGTGTGAAGAACTTTCCTGGGCCACCCTCAGCCTCGGGGACGCTTACGCTGCTCTGTACCCGAACTGGATAGCATGGCAGGCTCCTGCATTGTTCTGCAGCTGGAGTGTGGCCTCCTGTGTGCATGGATCCTGCAGAGGCGTGGCTTGAACAGTGGACCTGGGGGACTTTCTGTGGCCTCTGCGTGACCACGCAGAGCAGCGGGCCTTGTCTAAGAGCCTTGTTTTCTCCGGACTTGGGTTGAGTGACTGCTGGGATAGAATCCTGAGTACTGAATTTCTAGCCTGAGTAACAGTGAGGCCAGCGCAGAGATCCTGTCCCTTTCAGGTACCATCCAATCCTGAACCTTCAAACTTGAGCACCCACTATGCACTGTGCTCCCTGCACTGAGATCTTTCATTCATTGATCACCCATTGTTTTTTTCTGTAAGATGGTTTTTTTCTGTAAGATGTTAACGCAAAAAACCCTGAATGAATTCTGTGGCCAACCTAATATTATTATTGAGTGCCTGCTTGGCACATAGGACCCTATAATGAAAATGTTGATCATTTTTTGAAGAGCCCCTGTGTTCTATGATTATAACCATCTTCATAATAATCATGTGTACCTGACCATTCTGTGCCTCAGCTTCCTCATCTATACAATAGAGACAACTCTTCCTTGAAGGATCGATGAGATGATTGAGTTAATACACACAGAGCCCTTAAAATGATGCCTGGAGTATATCGAAGAGCTTAATAAATGTTGGCTGTCATGATTAATATTATCAGTTGTTGAACATTAATTATATGTGGGACACTGTCATTATTCTGAAAGTAATAATAGTTAAGATTTTCAGTTTCAGTTCAGTCGCTCAGTCGTGTCTGACTCTTTGAGACCCCATGGACTGCAGCACGCCAGGCTTCCCTGTCCATCACCAACTCCCAGAGCTTACTCAAACTCATGTCCATTGAGTCAGTGATGCCATCCAACCATCTCATCCTCTGTCATCCNCCTGGAGCTTACTCAAACTCATGTCCATTGAGTCAGTGATGCCATCCAACCATCTCATCCTCTGTCATCCCCTTCTCCTCCTGCCCTCAATCTTTCCCAGCATCAGAGTCTTTTGTAGTGAGTCAGTAGTAATAATAGTTAAGGTTACTGAACACCTCTTGGGCATGAGGCCTTGTTGTTATTGTTCAGTTGCTCAGCTGTGTCTGACTCTTTGCGACTGCATGGACTGCAGCATGCCAGGCTTCCCTGTCCTTCATCATCTCCTAGAGCTTGCTCAAACTCACGCCCATTGAGTACGTGATGCCATCCAGCCATTTCGTGCTCTGTCATCCCCTTCTTCTCCTGCTCTCAATCTTTCCCATCATCAGGGCCTTTTCAAATGCCTTTTCAATTACAAGGCCTTGTAATCAATGTTAATATAAGAACTGAGGCCCACTTGTGAGCCAGAACTGGGCTAGATACTGGAAACCCTAAGAGCAGTGTCCTGGGCAAAGAACCTATAATCTGATAAGGTGAAATTGGACAGTGTTGAAGGTGGCCATCTCTGGGAGAATCAGAGGTGGCTTTTAGGCAAATATGGGCTTACAGCAAGAAGGGGATGCCTTTGAGTTGCCAGAGGGATGGTTTAGGAATCAGGACACCTGAACTATCTCTTGAGCTGGACCAAAATGGAACCCAATGAGCTGTATTCCCTGTGAATGTTCAGCTGGGCAATGGGTCACTGGGAGCCTGAGGACCCACCAGACAAAGGCCAAAGTCTTTTTCCTGGGGAGAGAAGGGATGCAAGAGCAGAGGAAAGAGTGGCTGCCCTGCTGAGCTTTGGAGCCCGGGAGGATCTTCCCGGTCCTCCCGAGATGGAGCAAAAGTGGAGGTGAATTCAATGGGCTAGGGGTTTGGTGCCTCCTTGCTTCCTCTGCCTTGGGACCACTGTGTCAGTCTCATGGAGATTCACACTTGCTGCCTTCTCTGCCTGCCCACAGGGCTAGGCCTCAGCCAGCACCTCCTCTAAGAGCCATGGAACCTGGTCGATCTCTGGGTTCTGCATTATTTCAAGGTCAGCCCACTCCATATTCTGAGTTGCTTTTACTGGCCCTCAACTCCTGCAAGAAGGGACTGGGCCTGAAATCCAGAGCCACAAAGAAATGGGGCCTAAACAGCCCCTGGGCAGCCTGGCAAGATGGTCAGGACTGAGGAAGCCTGAATTCTTGGGTAGAGGCACCCTCAATTCTCAGCTCAGGAAGCCCCAGGCCTGGCTTGGGACTAGGAGGAGAGACTCAGAAATATCTAAGTCTGAGGTCCCTTAGGGACCAGCAGAACAACCCCACTCATGTTACAGGAGGGGAAACAGAAGCCTGGAGAGGGGAAGTGATGTCTCCAAGGTCTCAAGGCAGGCAGGCAGGTGGCAAAAAGAGTTTGGAATCCAGTCTCTAGAGTCCTTTATGCAGGAAGATGGTGAATAACTGGGTGCCTTGTGACGCCTGATTCTTCAGCACCCAAATCAGTTGAGTCTCTGAAGGTTTGGAGCCCTCAGTGGCCCAGAGAATGTTTTCCCAGACAGTGCCACCAAGAAGTTTGGGACTACCTCATTCTGACCCTTCCAGCCCTTACCTGGCCAGGACAGATAAGGCGCTCTCTCTCTGGCGGCGCTCTCTCTCTGGCAGCGCTCTCTGCAGAGTGTCCCAGCGAGGCCTGTCCATTCACCTGCAACCATCGCTGGTTGCCTTTCCAGTGCAACTCACATTCACCATCACGATTTTCTCTACATCCACCCCGGGCCTTGGTCATTGAAACCTCATCTTTAAGAGAACAAAAATAGGGGCTTCTCTGGCAGTCCAGTGGTTAACACTCCATGCTTCCATGGCAAGGGGCATGGATTTTAGCCTTGGTCAGGGAACTAAGATCTCACATCTTGCATGCCTCAGTGCAAAAAAAAAAAAAAAAAGACATAAAAGGACAAAAAGCAGTTAGAACAGCACCTGCCACGTTGTAAGTATTCTATGAGGGTTTGTTATCACCGTCCTCATCTCATCATTACTACTTCTACCTTTCTGCTCACATGGAGCTGTGCTAAAATCAATAACAATCCTGAAAGAAAAAGAATATGAATAGGGAATCAGTAACAATCCTTTAAAGAAAAAAAGGAAAAGAATGTGAACAGTGGTTGGGAATGAACAGCCTCAGCCAAGGCTAGGAAGCTTCCTAGCCTCACTTCAAGTGATTCATTCAAGATATGAGTTAGAGATCCCAAACTCAGATCTGTGGGCCTCACACATTCAGCCTGCAAATGCTCTTGTTCAGCCTTCAGAACACTATATTTTTGTTTTCGTTTTGTTTTGTTTTGGCCATGCTACACGGCATACGGGATCGTAGTTGCCCAATTAGGGATCGAATTTGTGCCCCCTGCAATGGGAGCGCGGAATATTAACCATTGGTGAAAGTCACTCAGTCATGTCTGACTCTGAGACCCAGTGGACTATACATGGAATAGTCCATGGAATTCTCCAGGCCAGCATAACAGAATGGGCAGGCATTCCCTTCTCCAAGGGGTCTTCCCAACCCAGGGATCTAACCCAGGTCTCCTGCATTTCAGGCAGATTCTTTACCAGCTGAGCCGCCAGGGAAGCCCAAGAATACTGGAGTGGGCAGCCTGTCCCTTCTCCAGGGGATCTTCCCGACCCAGGAATCAAACCAGGGTCTCCTGCATTGCAGGCGAATTCTTTACCAACAGAGCTATCAGGGACGCCGCTTAACCACTGGACCACCAGGGAAATCCCTGCACCATGATATTTTAAAATCTGTTACTAACATATAGAAAACCAGATTCCTGGGTTCTCTTGAAAAGCAACCACCTGTTTGAGAGCTGGGTTTAGATGAGGTATCCCCCCTCTGCACCTAGCGGTGGGTGGTCTCTACCACTGCCTACCACCCACCCCCTTCACCCATTCACCTTGACCTGCCCCACCTTGTAGGTCCTTAAGTGTATATCCCCTCCATCTAAATGGCTTCCCCCCACCCCAGTGGAGGCTTGGAAGGAGCATTTTGCCACAGACAATTTATTTTCCGCAACCGCGACCTGATGGACATGTGCCCCCTTCGCGGTTGGCGTCGATGTCACCACCAGCTGGAGGGTTTAGAGATGGGCTCGGGGACTCTGCAGCCCGAGCGGATGGCTTCCCAGAACTTGGGCAGGCAACCTAAGGAAAAGATCCCGTTGCCGAACAGAGGGAGCTCAGGTAGCTTTATCCCCGACCTCTGGGGCAGGATGGGAGTGAGGTTCCGGCTCGTGTTGGCGGAGTTATCCATGTACTGCACGGCGTTGACAGCCCTGCCGGACGGTACCACGCAGGTGCTGCCGCAGGGGTAGTCGAAGGAGGCCGCTCCGCTGCTGGGGTTACAGCACCTGCGGGGGGAGGCGTGGTCCGGGTGGTCCGGGTGGATGGAGTTGGCGGCGCGCTCCAGGTAGTTGGCCGCAAGCCTCGGCCGGCTCAGGGACTTAGGGTAGTTGCTGTAGAAGGCATTGGTGGATCTGTCGAGGTAGCTGATGCCTTTGATGAGCTGATCCAGGAAGGTGGGGTTAGAGGGACCCAAGGGGCGATCTGTACGGAGCAGGCAGTGGGGGTTGCCGCGACACGTGGGCTTCCTGGCCACCCTGGGGCCCTTCGCCAGGTGGCTTGTCTCCACGCACTTGGAGTTGTAGGGCCGGCCCATGCAGATTCTCCTCAGCGGCGGTCTGGGGGAGCTCCGCCTGTCGGTGGGCTCCGAAGGGCTGCTGCTGGCCTCGGAGCCGCTCGGGGTCCGAGAGCGCTTGAGGTTGCTCGCCCCGGTCGTGCTGGGGCCGTGGGGCCAGCCTTGAGTCTGGGCCATGAAGGACGCATTGTGGTTACTGGGGCTGGGACGGCCTGCTTGGTGTCCAGACATTGTCCCGGTCAGGCAGCCGAAGCTTCGTGGTACAGAACTGCTGAAATCTCACCTAGAGGCTGGTTCCCTGGGCCTGGAGGGGAGAGAGCTGGGTCAGCTCTCCTCGGCTCCCGGCCACCTCCCGCTGGGCTTTCCAGGTGTCCTCTCCCCATCTTGCTCCCCGGCCCAGGGATTTTTCAAACGGGAACGCAGGCCCCTTGGTTCTTCAGAAAGTGCAAAGAGCAGGAAATGGGGAGGGAGGCAAGACCCTGAGAACAATGGAATTCAGAGGACCCCCTAGAAAAAGTGGGGCAGTCTCCTTTTTCCTTTCACTGTAGCCCACATTCTGAAACTCCCATTCACCTTTTAAGCAGGGACTCCAGAAGACCACAGAGTCAGAGGACTAAATCTCTAATGGTGAAATTTGAGGCACTGAGACACACATTCTTTGGAGTAACATCAGATAGTTAATCACCCACTACACCATACACCCTGGTACTGAACAGTATGTCTTAGAAGCAATGCGGTATAGATGCTTTTTCTTTGCCAGTCCTTTGCTTGTACCTTTACTTGTAAGTCTTAACTACAAATCCAGGAGGCAGTTATTATTCTATTCCTATCTGACAGATGGGGGAAACTGAGGCTCAGAGGCTTGATGTGACTTGCCTCAGATCACATAGCTTGTGAGTGGTGGGGGCCAAGGTACTATCTTGAGTGTATCTGATGACTGCTAAAAGACAATGCCGTGTTGTTGGAGTGACTTTATCCTGAAGACCAGTCTACTGAGGAAGAGTTCTCATCTCACCTGTTTGATAGGGGCACCGATGGGGAAAACCAGATGGAGAGTGGTGCTTGCTAACCCTGTAACTAAGTTGATCTTGTCTTCACGATCTGAAAGCAGAAACTTCTCAGGAACTAGGGCCTGTCCATGCTCTGGCCCAGCTCACCGTGCTTCCTGTCCTGGGCCCGCCCAGGTAGCAGGAGCCCCAGCCCCATTCCCTTTGTCCCCCAGGTCCCCCGTACTCCCCCCTTTCCAGAAGGAAGGCTCTGATTTCTGTCCCCCACTACTGCCAGACTGATGCTAGTTTTCCACTTCTGCCTGCTGAGAACGGAGCCGTATTTGAGCCTGTCCCACCCAGGAAACAGCTGCCCGCTCCTCTCCCGGCCCACAGCCCCTCAGCTGCCCTTGTCCTTTGGGTCTGAATCGCGTGGAATGCCCAGACTCTCACCCTTCCATCCCTGGCCGAGCCCCACCCCAGCTCGTCCTCCAGATATAGGGGAGACGCCAGTGGGCTGCCCCCCACGGGCCCTCCCTTCCGGGCGGGCTGGGCCCTCTCCCTGGCTCCCTCTACCTTCAGGAGGTAGATGACTTAGCCCTCCTCTTGCCCTTCACTGGGGAGTACCCTGATGCCGCCATTCCAGACTCCTGGCCATGTCATAGAATCACAGAACCCTGGAGAGAGGAGGGCCTCTGGGGGTCAACCTGGTCAGGCTCCTGCCTTAGAACTAGTGCTGCGTTAAGCTCTCCAGGACAGATGGGCCCTATTTTTAAAGTGAGGCTGGGGTGGACGTTTTCCAGTGTCCCCTGTTGTTTTTCTAGCATTTAATTATGCTGAGAGTCAGGGAGTTCTTTGCCGGGCCTGATATAACTCTCGTTGGCTGTGGTCAGCATCAATTTTCTTTTCTCGTTGGGTCAGCAAACATTTGTTGAGTTTCCCTAAAGAGCTGTCCCTTTGAGTGACCCAGAACACGGCAGCACTTGCTTTTCTCCCTTCTCGCTGATCCTCACACAGTCAGCAGTTCCGCGCTGAGTCCCTACTATGCAGTGGGCTGCAGCCTGAGGATTGCATTCCGAGCTCCTGTGAACTTCCCTCCCTGGCCCATAAGGGGCATCTTGTACAAATCTGTCGGATGCGTCAACGAGATCCCCCTTTGAGAGCTCCTGGTGTTTCTGGACATCGTTTCCTTCCTGCCAGTAGTGGAAATACACTTTTACTTTCTATTTTGTAAAGCATTCAAAATAGTCAAACTTATTGAAAACTTACAAGATAATGAAGTCCCATATACTCTTCACTGCAATCTACTAATTATTAATTTTTGTCACAGCACCACACACACACACACGCGCGCGTGCGCGGATTATTATTATTTTGAGAGTCAGTTGCAGACAACAGCAGCCTTTACTCTTGAATACTTCAGCCTGTATCTCCTACAAGCTGGGAGAACAAGGATACCTTCTTACGTACCCAGTTATCTTACGTACCCAGGATAATTAACACTGATACAGAGCTATTAGCTAATACACAGTCCACAATTTACAGATTATTTTCTCCGATGGTCTCTATGGCAGCTATGTCCCCAGTCCAGGAGCCAATACATGATCAGACATTGACTTTAGTTCTCAGGTGTCTTTGCTGTCCTTCAGCCTGGAAGTCCCTCTGTCTTGGCCTTTTATGACATGAATAGCTTTGAAGAGCTCAGGCAAATTGTTTTGGAGAATGTTCTCCCATTTGGGTTTAGCTGCAAGATCGCAAAGCACATACACACAGAAGCCTCCCCGGGACAGTCCCTGGCTCATAACCTCTGAGAGTGAAGGGCCTTTTGCCCTGGAGGGGGGTGGTTATAGCCACTGCAACAGGGAGCTGAGAGGAGGGCGCAGAGGGACCCCCAGAAGGAGGAAGAGGGGTGTAGGGAAACTCAATGGGCCAGAGAAGCAGTGGCAACCGTTCCCTTGTGGGGCCTCAGCCAGATCTGGTCCTGTCCTGGGCTGGGGGCCGGGCAGGCGGGCAGATGGCCAGCAAGAGGGCTGGGCCTCTGCGTATTTGTCCTGAAGGTACCCAGGCGCCGAGATCACTGGCCATTTCTGGCCTGGGCACTAAGAGCCTCTGGAAATAGCTCCAGGACAATTATTTCAGGAGGAATGTGCTATTCCCCCATCTTCTCAGAAAGCCAGACTGGGTCCCATAAGATCAGGAATGTCCGTCTCTGGCCTCTCGGAACTCCAGGGGATCCTGGGGTCCCCTGGGGGCCACAGTGGTCTTCAGAGCTGGGGAGGCTGGAGGCTAGGATGGGGTCAAGCAGATGAAAAGCCCCCGTCCCCGTGCAGGGAGGGGTGGTTCTGTCCTCAGATCCTGGGCTCTCAAGGCCCAGCCTGGAGTCAGGCTTGGCCAGCGGGGGTCCAGCTGACTCCAAGCCCAGGGACACAGGAACGGGAGGGGAGGGAAGGGGAGGGAGGGGAGGGGAGCTGCCCGCCCCACCTCCCGCCCGGACCCACGCCTGAGAAACTGACGTGGTAGAGCACTTACTATGTGCCAACAAACCCGACATTGTCAGATTCCCAGTCATCGCATGCACCCTCTCATTTAATCCACGTAGCGCCCCTGGGAGGTAGGTGGTTTGCTTTTCAGATGAGGTCCTTGAGGCTCACAGAGAGCAGGAGACTTACTCAAGCTCACCCAGCAACCAGAATTAAGACTCAACGTTTGAATCCCAAATCCTACAGGCTTGAGCACTAAACAAGGAAGAGGGTGGGCCACCCACTCACTCAGTGAGGACTCGGTAAGTGACCCTGAGAACTGAGAGGCGTGGGGAGGGGTCCAGCCTGAAGGCCCAGGCTGGAGGGAAACTTAGCCCTGTCTCTCAGTGAGCCTCCGACGTCCACCCCCAGCCAAGGCCAGCTGCCTCTCCCTCCCTAGCACTGCAGGATGGATGCCAGGGTCTCAGAATATCCTGCCCCTCCCTGCGCCGTCTCTAGCCACAGTGGCCCCTGCCCTTGCCCCATCTGGGCCATCTCCAGCCTTGGCTGCTTAGCTGCATTGCCAAATCAACTGCAAACCATGAACTTTCCACAAGCCCCTGCTCCTCCTACTCTGTCCTCTCTCACCTGACCGCCCCTCCCTGCATCCCTACCCTCTCTCCTCCAGGTCCCCCCAAGACCATCGGAGGCCCTCTCCCCATCCCACATTCAAAGAGTTCAAAGGCATCTCCTTCCCCGGGACTCCCCAAGAGTGGACGGAACAGCCCCCTTCTCCAGAGACCATAGGACCCTGAGGTGGCTTATTAACCCCTCCCCTGTCACCCAGAGGTCCTCCTCTTCCCCCTACCCCCAGATGGTGGGAGGAGTCTCTCCTTGTTGTTTCAGGCACTTGGCAAGGAGGAGGCCATACATACATGTGAGTCCATCTCAGGCCAGGGGAACAGCTAGAACCAAGAGCCAGGGCTGCAATGCCGCTGTCCCACCCTGCTTGGAGGACACTTCTCGCAGCCTCTGGCTACCCTGAGCACTGTGACTCACCTGAGCCTTTATCTGGCTTGGGGCCAACACACCCACAGGGCTGAAAACCTCTCCTGGGCTGGGCTCTGGCCCTCTCCCAGATGCAGTCTCCATCCACTCAATCATAATGAGTCACAACCCTGCCTCATCCCCTAACGCCCTCAAAGATACCAGCCCTCTGCTCACCAGCTGCCGAAAGAGCACTTCCCCAGGCCCACGTGTGGCAGGTACAAGCCAGGACAGATCTGAGCTCAGGAGTGCTGGGGCAGGTGTGGCTTGGCAGGAGCCCCAGACGGCAAGAGCTGCCCTCTTGCCAAGACACCTCAGGGTTTTCAAGGTGAAGCAGCCAATCTGGGAGTGGACAGGAATCTCATCTTTATGAGCCCTGGGAAATTCCCTCTAAGAGGGGATGGGGATGATGGTCATGTATAAGCTTAATTGTTGCTGTTGGTGTTCCGTTGCTAAGTTGTCTTTTTCCGAAAGTGCTGCACTCAATATGCCAGCAAATTTGGAAAACTCAGCAGTGGCCACAAGACTGGAAAAGGTCAGTTTTCATTCCAATCCCAAAGAAAGGCAATGCCAAAGAATGCTCAAACTACCACACAATTGCACTCATCTTACATGCTAGTAAAGTAATGCTCAAAATTCTCCCAGCTAGGCTTCAACAATACGTGAACTGTGAACTTCCAGATGTTCAAGCTGGATTTAGAAAAGGCAAAGGAACCAGAGATCAAATTGCCAACATCTGTCAGATCATCGAAAAAGCAAGAGAGTTCCAAAAAAACCTGTATTTCTGCTTTATTGACTACACCAAAGCCTTTGATTGTGTGGATCACAACAAGCTGTGGAACATTCTTAAAAAGGTGGGAATACCAGACCACCTGAGCTGCCTCCTGAGAAATCTGTATNAGAACTGATGCTTTTGAACTGTGGTGTTGGAGAAGACTCTTGAGAGTCCCTTGGACTGCAAGGAGATCCAACCAGTCCATCCTAAAGGAAATCAGTCTTAAATATTCATTGGAGGGACTGATGCTGAAGCTGAAACTCCAATACTTTGGCCACCTGATGCAAAGAGCTGACTCATTGGAAAAGACCCTGATGCTGGGAAAGATTGAAGGCAGGAGGAGAAGGGCACAACAGAGGATGAGATAGTTGGGTGGCATCACCGACTCGATGGGCATGAGAGTGAGTAAACTCTGGGAGTTGGTAATGGACAGGGAGGCCTGGCATGCTGCAGTCCATGGGGTCGCAAAGAGTTGGACACGACTGAGTGACTGAACTGAACTGAACTAAACTTTTTCCAAATTTGCTGGCATATTAAGTGTAACACTTTCACAGCATCATCTTTTAGGATTTGAAACAGTTCAGCTGGAATTCCATACCTCTACTAGCTTTGTTTGTAGTAGTGCTTCCTTAGACCCACTTGCCTTCACACTCCAGGATGTCTGGCTCTAGGTGAGTGATCACACCATTGTGGTTGTCTGGGTCATTAAGACCTTTATTGTATAGTTCTTTTGTGTATTCTTGACACCACTTCTTAATCTCCTCTGCTTCTGTTAGGTCCTTGCTGTTTCTGTCCTTTATTGTGTTCATTTTTGCATGGTATCTCCATTTTACCCTTAGTATTTCCCTTGGTATGTCCAGTTTTCTTGAAGAGATCTCTAGCCTTTTCCATTCTATTGTTTTCCTCTATTTATATATCCTTATATACATTTCTACTGGGAGAAGGACAGTAAGTAACTGGTTTGTGCTGTGACCTTGGATAAGCATTGAACTTCTCCAAATCTCTACCTCCTGCTCTGTAAACTAGGAGTAAGGAAGGTGCCCGGCGAACACTGCTGGCTCAGCTGACTTGCAATAATCGCTAATGTTTATGAAATATCCTCATGTTGCAGGCACAGTGTGCTGTAGTGGTACATGGGAGCCAGCTCTTACTGGCTCTCAAAAGTCATTTTCGAAATATTCTAGAATCTGGTGAACCTGTTATTGAACCACTAGTCGCTTGACATCAGCCATTTATACCACAGTTCAGTTCAGTTTAGTTGCTCAGTAGTGTCCAACTCTTTGCCACCCCATGGACTGCGTTATGCCATGCCTCCCTGTCCATCACCAACTCTTCATGAGTTTACTCAAACTCA